TCGACTGGATAAGGAACAATATTACTTTGCTGGAGCAGCGAAGCGTTCTGTTCAACGAATCTATCTTCATGAACATCGCCTTTGGTAGTCGCAACTATGAAGGACTCAGCAAGGTTGATGTACGTGAGTGTATCGATCTTGCAAGGTTACAAAGCACAATAGACGATCTACCCAAGGGAATCGACACTTGTGTGGGTCACGGTGGTGATTTCCTAAGCGGTGGTCAAAAGCAAAGAGTGGCGATTGCAAGGGCGCGGCTAAGGGATACGCCTATATTGATAATGGATGAGCCTACGAGTGCCCTTGATGCCACCAACCGCGTCGAGATAACGAAAGCTATCCGGGAATGGCGTCGAGGGAAAACAACTATCATCATCACACATGATATGTCGCAAATCATGGATCATGACTTTGCCTACATCATGGACCAAGGCTCGGTTATTCAAGCTGGCTACAGACATGAATTGGAGGAGAGCAATACGTGTTTTGCTACCTCGGACAAACTTCATCGTGAGGAAAGTGAGCATGGTGTTGCCCACAGTTCTTCTAATCGATACTCCAGTGATTCTTCAAGGTCCTCAATTGAGAGTACACGCGGTCCAAGCCCTGATTCGTTTTCTCGAAACAGCGAGCTTGCACAGCATTCTTATGCTATCCACGGCTACAAAAGAAGCATACAGAGCATTCGTCAATCTGCAGACACTCAAAGGTTCAGACCACGTCGTGAGTCGATTGGAATGCAGATGTTCGAGCTCAATACCGTCCATGCCGATGATACGAACTTCCAGTCCAACCGGTTCAGACAGAGTATACTTCCTGTGAATGATGTCGTCAATGAGATCAATAGAGCGAGATCGAAGCATCGAAGTAAGCGGCCTTTTAAGAATGCAGCACGCCTCGCGCCGCAAGAAAGCATGTCATTGGGGCGGATCATGCTGACCATACTTCCTAACCTAACTCGAGGCCAAAAACTACTTCTTTTGCTTGGATGTTTCAGCACCTTGGGCCATTCGATGGCGACTCCTCTGTTTTCTTATTGCCTGTCGAAGCTCCTTGAAACGTTTTACAACAAGCAAGCCAAAGCCTCAACATGGTCACTGATAGTTCTAGGGATCGCCGTAGGTGACGGCATTATATCATTTCTGATGCATTATCTTCTGGAGCTATGTGGCCAGGCGTGGGTTGATCGCCTCCGTAAAAGAGGCTTCCATCACATTCTTGACCAGCCACGAAAATGGTTTGAAGAAGCAGGAAATGAACCTTCCCAACTCACCTCGTCCCTCAACCACAGTGCTGAGGAGATGCGAAATCTGGTCGGTCATTTTGGTGGCTACGTCCTGGTGGCTACTTCAGTCACCGTGGTCGCTATCATATGGTGCATGGCTGTTTGTTGGAAATTGACTCTCGTGGCTGTGGCTTGCGGACCAGTCATCTACGTTATCACTAGAGGGCTCGAAAAGACAACCGGAATATGGGAGAGACGTTGCACTGGGGTCAAAACGACAGCGTCGGAGATATTCATCGAGACGTTCTCGCAGATTCGCACCGTCCGCACATTGACCCTTGAGCCTTACTTCCACAAGAAGCATATGAAGGCCGCGGCACTGTGTATGATTCTTGGGGTGAAGAAAGCTGTCTATACCGGTTTTCTCTTTGGATTGGTAGAGTCCATGATCATATTCGTCAGCAGTAAGCAGCTGTATATGGAACCCTTGAAACTCTCGCATATCTGACCTGCGCAGGCCTGATCTTCTATTACGGAGCAGTTCTCGTATCATCGCTCGAGTTCACAGTCACCAGCCTCATGACAGTCTTCTCCGTCCTTCTCTTCAGCATCGGCTACGCAAGCACAGTACTTTCCTGGAGTGAGCCACCTACCCGACAACCATTACCCACGCCCACAGCTAACACCCCTTTAGTCCCCCAGATCAGCGTCTCCCACATAATGGCCAACCAAGTCCTACGCCTAGCACACCTTCCACGCGGCGCATCCCACGAACACCGGGGCACCCTCAAAATCACCACAGCCGCACCAGTAAAGATCACCAACCTAAACTTCCGCTATCCATCCCGCCCAGACGCACACGTCCTACGCGACATATGCATCACCATCCCCCGAAACCAAAGCACAGCAATCGTAGGCCGATCAGGCTCCGGCAAATCCACAATAGCATCCTTACTCCTGAACCTCTACGAAGCCCCCACCACCACAAACAGAACCTCCCCTATATCCCTAAACGGAATCGACCTCCAACGCATCCACACCCCAACCCTCCGCTCCCTCATCACCATCGTCTCCCAACGACCCTCCATCTTCCCCGGCACAGTAGCAGACAACATCAGCTACGGCCTCGAAGACGACTCCCCGCTCCGCACAATGTTCCACATCCGCGCCGCAGCAGAAGCAGCCGGGATCGACGAATTCATCTCATCCCTGCCCAAGGGCTACTTCACCATGATAGGCGACGGCGGGGCCGGTATGTCCGGGGGACAAGCGCAACGGCTGGTAATTGCACGGGCGTTGGTGCGACAGCCACAGCTTCTTATCCTGGATGAAGCCACGTCCAGCCTTGATCCGAATAACGCTCAGATCATTCGACGGACCGTGCAGAGGTTGGTCGCGACGCGAAAGGGCCTTACTGTCCTTATCATTACGCATGCAAGGGATATGATGGAGATTGCGGATAATGTTATTGTGATTGACAAGGGTCGTGTGGTGGAAGCGGGGAAGTATAAGGTGCTTGCTCGGCGGCAGGGTGGGAAATTAAGGGCTTTGATTGAGGAGGAGGAGGAGGATTCTGAGGTGGATGGATGAAATGGGGGTATGAGGGAGAGAGGGAGAAGAATAGAGCACGCTCCCCACAATAATTAAAGGAAGGATAGTAAATCAATAAGACACCCTCGCAAACTGCTTCTGAAACCACGCAATCGCCTGATCCTCCGCCTCCTCAGCCTGCGCCCTCACATCCTTAACCATCACATCCGCACGCACACAAAACCCATGTCCAGCCCCGTAGTAGATCTTCACCTCCCCCACATCCCTCTCTCCGACGGCTTTCTCAATCTGCTTAATCTGCGGCATTTTCACCATATTATCCAGCTCTGCCATTGCAAAGCTCACGGGGATCTTGATCTTCTCGATATCCGCGGGGATCTTCAGATTGCTGGGATGGCCGGTGAAACCGGCATCAATTAGGGGTTTGCCGTCTACTTTGTCTTCTTCTTTGTCGTGCGCGAGGTACACGGTGTGTAACCCGCCCCAGCAGAATCCTGCAGCTGCGATGGGGAGGTTGGCGCCTTCGTTGCGCCGTACGGCGGTGAAGAATGTCTTGACGGTGGGCCAGGAGGTGGTAAATTTGGTGTGGTATAGGAAGGGGATCATGGCGTACATGGCGCAGGCGATGTGGTAGCTGCATCGTAGTATACGTTGTGAGAATTGCATTGTAGTTGTGCTAGGTAGAGAGATATGTGGGACTTACGGTTTCGTGATCCAGTCCATGATGGATGAGGTCTTCATTATGGCAGATAGGGTGTTTAGGGACCAGACTGGGGCGGCGTGTCCTGGTTATCCAGTATATATATTTAGTACATATCCACATGAGCATCAATGATCAGGAGTAAACATACCATTCATGAATTCAGGCAAATACACCTTATACCCTCCCTTATCGGCATAATGATCGGCCAGAATACGATTATTGACGAACTCCCACCCAAACGCATCCGGAATGATGATGATGATTCCCTTGATGGGAGATTCTGTGGACGTCGGTTCCGTCACATATGCATTCAGGCCATGCAAGGTGGTGACTGTTCCTCTGGGCGTAGTGTCCTCGTGCACGTGGCCGCTGAAGCAGTCGGGACAGGACATGATGATGATAATATATATCTATATGACGTAGTGGTAGTTGAGGTGTGTGTTAGGTTCTGCTATGGTCTTTCTCGATATGAGGCGGATAGTGTCGAGTAGGTTGATACCTAGGATCGACCTGCCAGAAAGATAAGCTTTAGCAGGAGCGGGGAACTGGTTGCTTATGTGTTGCTGTCAGTTGATGTGGGAAGGTAGAGTTCGAGGTTCCATGGCATGGCGTAGTGGGTTTAGCCAGGCAGGTTCGGGGTTGCCGGAGGTAAAATTGGTTTAAGTCCGGGATAGCGAGTGGGATGGATAAGTGGATACGGTTGGCTCTTGGATTATCTCCGATGAGAATCATGATTGAGCACTTTGTGAAATGGGGAGGCCTAATTGAACGAGGGAGTGGAGCTTGCGTAATAATTTGGGTGAGGGTTTGGCTGTGAAAATTGTGGATGGGATCATCCTTGACTTGGTGTAGTAGTTTGTACGCCCCGAGACTAACAGGAATGGAGCTGGTGAGGGAATACTACTAACTGGGAGACTAATTAATGGCGTCGTACTGGGTACGTCAGGCGGATAATATTTTTGTTAGTGGTCTTTTTATTTACCCTACATGAGAACTAAACGTCTTCGTCTTTGTCCCTTTTGGGAACTCGCCTAGTAAGGAATCTAGACTTCACTTTGACCACCAAATAGACAGGAGCCCCGACTGGTACTGGTGTAAGATCAGGCTTTACTATGCGGCCTGCGCGCAGAGCATAAACCAATCATCTACCTTTGCCAGCAAAGCTTTATCGGGGGCGGGGTAGACTACCTAAGGATCATGAGCAGCTATAAAGAGGGGAAGTTGTTTGTACGGTTAGATTGTTTAGAATAATTGTTCCATTAAATACTCTCTCTAAGCTGCAAGTCTCACGGTACGAAGTGTATCACTTAATGGTTGCAGGATCTATAAAATTTGGATGTCAGGGCATTCCCTGTCACTTTTGTGCATCTCGAAACAGATGTGAGAGGAAAGCTGGGCGGCACAAATCACACACGCTAATTACGAAGTAGAAAACAAAACCAGCAAAGACCCCTCCAGATGGCCGACAACGCTTCACCAGATCAAAGCAAGGGAGAAGAGGCAATAGTCGGAATCAAGTCCGATGTCAAAACTCTCCAGCAACTCAGCTCTTCAGGTGCAGCCGCTCGGGAGAAGCGCGAGAAAAACCAGGTAGATAGAGGACTGCGAGCGTTAGCAGGAGCTTTCCAGGCCGATCTCCAACAGGAAGGGAATAGAAACCAAGGGCCATCCTAGGAACTCCTATCAGCAGGGAATGATGTCTGGAGCTCATCCTCATCCTTAAACTCCTGTTCAAGTTTCCTGTCGTACTCCTCCTTGTCAGATACCTTCTGATATGCGATACGGCCCACATTCCTTCCCCACAGAAAGGGCATGATCAAATGGAATTCTTCGAGATTATTTGCGCAAAATAGCGGTCGTATATGTCGCTGAAAAATAGTGAAAAGACCAGAGGGGCTGGAGAGAGCCAATGTATACCAAAATGTCCCTGTTGCCCACGTCCTATCCATAATGTCTGATAGAAGGGGCGAGTCATGGTTTGATGTCAACAATGCTTTCTCCTCGATTTTTAGAGCGTCCATAAATTCTGTCCGGACTTTGTCGTACTCAGCTGGCACCAGCTGATCGACGCCCAAATTGGTTAGCCAATGAAAGGGCCTAATCATCTCAATTGGCAAAGAGCAAGCCCACTCCAAGTCCAACAGACAAGTTACATTCCAGTCATCATCGACAAATATGTTGCTCTGATGAAGATCTGTTAGAGAGAGAACAAAAGGCCCTCGGCCAAGTTCCCTCTTAAAGAATGATTTAGATATTGTTCTCATCGCAGAAAGTGAGGACAGCTGGAACACAGAGTCTCCAAGGTCATTCACTGCATTTGGCTGAAACAGGAAGCGATTATCATGGAATGAGAGGACATCTGACACATACGAGTCAACAGTTGAGTATGTATAATCACGATGTATGCCAGTCGGTATTTGTTCATTCTCAAGCTGTTGAATTTCAATCGAAAGTGGCCGATTTGCTAGGACCAGATACCCTCTGTGGTCGATAACAAACGAGCCAATTCTAGGAACCGGAACTTGGCTAATGCTCAAGAGAATGCGGGAAATACTGCGGAAAAAGGTTGTTCGCAGTTTAACATCGTGTTGCCTATCTGCCCACGTGTTCGACAGCATACTTCCCCGGCTTGGTAGGATGTATTCGAGAAGTAGATAGCTGGAGTGAATGGCCTGCTCGCCTTTGACGTGGTGCGGAACATATGTAGACGGGGTTTGGCAGCCTAGCCATGAGAGAACGCGACAGCGGATCGCATGAATCCACCTGTGTAGAAGCGGCAGTTTTTCAGCGTGAGTGAACTGGAATAAGTTAGCTGGGTAGGGGGAAACAGTGCATTGATCTTAGTACAGCTTCACCGGTCGAAAGGCCAAATCCATACAATTCTGGAATTGGCACATCCGGACAATTCTCTTGGAGCCATGCATAAGTCCCTGCCTCGCATCTAACCTTCTCATCTCCATTCCCTGGCATAAAATCCTCGCCAATCCTGTATGGGAGAGGAAGTCGAAGAACCATGGGCTTTGCACCTCGACTGCTGGCAGTGATGGGGATACAAACGTTGAAGCTACCATGTAACCAATCTTCCACCTTGGACACCTGACAAGCATCTGGAGAGCTTAAGTTGAGATGATGTGCGACAACGCCTTTGATCCAGCTCTGGTGAGCACTGAGATGAGCAAAGAACTTATTCTGCTTGTCATAGTAAGACAGCTGATGAAGTATATTATGTTCCTCCTCCTTGGCGGATGCATAAGTAATTTCCCTTCGAAGGAGTCGTCGTGTTTTGGGCATGATGGAAGATAGCAGGGAATCTGTTGCCCTGAAAGCGAGATCGGCTATCTACATCAATATGGTGTAGATGAGGAGTGGGTCAGGATTCAGGAGGAGACTCCATAACAAGACCAGACTAACTACGGAGTAGTCTAGTCTACTTTAATAAAGTACTAGTAATTGACCCGGGAGGACTTTATTCCGATGGGGTACTCCGTAGTGAGTCTAATGACAGCCCCATCCCTGGTGCTCACTGCTCAGTGACCCTGGCGATGATAAGTGAGCTTAATTTTCCTTGGGCAAATAAGCTGACTGAACTTAAAGCTAGATACAGAGGCGTCTCGAGCAAATCAATTGAACACAACTCCCAACGCTGATCCGACACCAACCAGAAAACCAGCAGCGAAGGAACGTTGTTCTAAAAATGGCACGCGCCGGTGGTTCGGGAAGGAAAACCCGGCAGCTTCAATTTGTATTGCGCCTCTCGTTTCACAATGAGATCGTCTTTAATTAGTCGGGAGGGTGCGATGGAGTCCTTTTTAATTTGTATAGAGACTCTGTTGATGCGTAATTGTGTCGTGTCACGATCAAATTGACCTCCTGAGCCTGGAAGCATCCCAAGGGTCGTACTGCCACTACTACTTCTGATCAGTCACTTCTTTCTGACTGGGGAAAAATCCATTCGCTATTTTATCTCCGCCAGCGACCCAGCCACTTTCTCGTCGGCATCAGCATCAGCATCAGCAATCAGTCAATCAGCGCCAATCTGTGGCCCTCCCCTCTTGCCATTCGACAACCACTTGCAGGCCTGTCTTGGAATGATGAGCATCGTCATTCTCTGACACCAGTTAGCCGCTGAAATCTTACCGCGGTCCTGCTCGTATTCTCTCTCTCCTGGTCCTTTCTTCCCCAGCCATCACCAGCTTGAGGCCATGGATTCGCGCATGTCTCTTCTTCTCCATAATTTACCATCTCATTCATTATTGCTGGCTCTATCTCTAGCTATTCGTGTTGATTTCAGTCGCATTCTATGGTCTGATTCGTAATATCTTATCAAATCTTCCCCCAGGCCCCCTTCTGCAGCCTATCTTGCTTTTTTCTTATTCATTCATACCACCGAGTACCAAACCTTCACTGTTCATCCGCCAGTTCCGCAGCGTTCCCGGTTTAGGCTACCATTTCCAGTTCGCCTCCGATCCCGGTTTTTCAAACCTCTTTTCGCCTGCGATAATACCTCCTATCGTCGACTTTCTAGCTGGTCTGCATGCTTAGGGGCTATAGATCTGGGCTCATTCCCGATCGCCCGGAATCCACAGCATGCACATTCCAGTCAACTTCCGCCAATTTGACATCCGTCAGGATGGTCCGGGCAACATTATCAACAATCCCAACACCAACACCAATAACACAGATAATAGCCCGGATAAGAACCATGCCTCCGACAATGATAACTCGAGCAGGAATAATATCATTATAATAGTGGGTGCTCTCTTTCTTCGGTTTCCCGCAGTCACTAATGCATCTTTTCCTCTAATTGCAGTGCGTCGCTTGCATCATTTTCGCCGTGGCATCCGCCTTAATGACCTATTTCGTCTTACGTACCCTCCGTCGCATGAACTGTCGCCCGAAATATTTGCCTGGAAAATTCCTAAAGGACAAATGGAATAGGTGGAACGTGGGCGTCTCATATGGTCAGGTCCCCGGGGCGAATAATCCAAATGCGAACACCAGAGACACGCCCGCCGAAGGAGGCTCGGAGATGCGAACTACCACCCCGGCCGCCAACAATACGAGCAATGTTCGACGGGATACATCGGTTCGCTCGGTCATCACCCTTCCCGCCTACTCGCCCAGTCCCAAACCAACGGAGCAGGTCATCGCTCGAGAGGGGGAGCGAGCAGGCATGGACATGGTTGTCGAGTTCCCCGAAACAGCTGAAGAAGAGGAATCCCGCAGAGAAGAGCTGATGGAGTCTCTCTACCAGATCCGTTTGCAACGGCGAGAGGAGATAGCCGACCGTGAATGGCGGCGACAGGAGCGCCGGGAGGCTCGTGCTCGTGGGGACTATATTCGCCTTGAAGAACTCCGGCAGGAGAGTCGGGCCCGCGCGAGAAGCAGCGCGTCTGCCAATGGAAGTGGTTCAAACCTCAGCGCGGCTCTGGCGGAATCTCGTAACCGTGGTCGCGATAGGCGTATCTCCAGTGTCTCTTATGCAGAACTGGGCCACGTGCGGCATGACGGGTCGCGTATCAGAGCCACGTCGCCCGATTCGGACCGTCGTCCTCTTCTCACCGATGCATCAGCGCCCGATCGATCCTCAGGATCGATTCTCACCGGCGTTCATTCTCGAGGCGAGTCGTACTCGTCGTATCAGTCTGGGGTATCCAACGTCTCCGATGCGGAGACTTTGACTCAGGTGCAATCGCATGCGGCGTCTGCTCATTCGGCTGATCGCCCGTCAATAACAGTCGACGAGGGTGATGTGGGTGAACTCAATATCCCGCCGCCTGAGTACGAGGTCCTGGAATGGGGAGAAGCGCCGCCTTATACGAGTCCAATCGCGGAGAGGGGCGAGCATGCGCCGCAGCTTCGTGACTTGACCCCCTTGCCAACCATCCATATCGATGTAGCCAGCCCTATCAGCAACACTCCCACCACGCCCACAAATCCTCTGCGGGAAGAGGAGCCGGAAGAGCAACAAACCGCCGAACAAACTACCGAACAACCTGCCACCACCACTCAACCCATCACTGAAGAGCGTGTCGAAGAACACCCTGCTTCTGAATCAGCCGAAACACACCTCTTGAGGGATGACACTCATAGTCACCAGGCGTCTTGATTTCTCCATTATCGATATGTCTTTTCAACAACTAGAAGACCTGACCCATCGGTCTACATTCACGGCTGCCATTCCTCGCCCTTTCCGACCTCGCATTCCAATACCCGTTACGAGCATAAGCGTTTACGACCCTACATACTAGCATATAGGTTGTTTTAATTACTCTCCGACCCTGTCAATAGTTTTCTTTCCCTTGGACATTCATGTTAGCCCGCAAGGCGTTTTATTGAAGGCGAATCTATGAACGGCTCTTCTTGTTTTCTCAGCCCACACCAGTCTGCCTGTACATTTAGAGAAGGGGGCACTGTGTTTATTGGATATGTCTGCACATATTATACGCTCCAGCATATGATGGAAAATCTAAATGCAAAAGCTTCAATAACGACGTGCGAAAATGTTGTCTAGAATAAGATTCATGAATTGGATAATCACTATCTATCTATCTCTCCGGCTTGGCTCGTGGCGTAAGCACTCGGAAGGCGGTCAGGCGCTCCACGGGAGGGGGGCCCACGGGAGTAAACAAACCAAAAGCAGCGGGCGAGTTCCACTCGGTCGAGGACGTAGTAACTTGTTGCCAGCCCAGCCTCCTCATTTATTTCCGTCGCATCATCCACTCGCGTCCCCATTGCGTTGTCTAGCCGGTTAGCCAGGTCTTACCGTGCAATTGTGCTGCTTCTGCGATAGTCTGGAAACCGCAGTGGCTTGTCTTCTCTAGGCAATTGCACTGTCGTCCTTTCTTTCAGTGGTGGTTTCCCTGGCTACTTCCCTCCTCCAGCCGGGAGACTCGCGCTGCACCGACGCGCTACCAGCGACTCTCTAAACATTTGACTGTCCGCCGTGCAGCTTGCAGCTTCAGAACAACGAGCGGACTACTTCCAAGTCTACTTTGCTGATCCAGTCAGCTTAATCACTGAATACCTGTGAGGTACTCTATTTTTCACTCCGTCAACAAACCATCCCAAATAGGCGCGTCACATCGGCCGGCAACATGTCGCGCGAAGCAACAACGAATAGCTTCGCGTCGTTTGGCTCCGACTTCGACCCTGAGCACGAGGCGCTCGCGTCCACCAAGGAGCTCGGTCATGGTAGCCCCCGACTTCCGTCCATGCACACCAACGCCAGGAAGCGCCACGAGTACGACGAAGAAGAGCCCGACTACGCTTTCAACACATCCACCTTCGAGCAATATCTACCAGATTTCTCCCCGGTCGGCACATCCGAAGAAGAAGAGGAGGCCGACAACGACGACAGCATCTCCATTGAGGCCGGCCGAGGCCCGACAAAACCTCCCCGTCGATTGGACGACTCGAGAAACTCCTACATGAGCATCGAAAACAGCGTTCGCTCGTCGTCACCCGCCGTCAGACTCGATTATCCTACTTCTAATACCCCTCAGAAGTCTGCTCTGCGGAACCCGGCGAGAAGAGCGGTCAGCGATAGTCTCCGAAAGGATGCTCAAATCAGACGCGCCAGCCTTGCCCATAAGGAGAACGTTGATCCCCACACAGCCAAGTCGAACCGCAAAGAGCGACGGACGCTGTCAGACATGCACGCAAAGGTTCGCGATACTTATGAAGGATCCCTGATTGAGGACGAAAGGCCTCCGGTCATGGCCAACAGTACGCGTCCGACACGTTTTGGAAACCCCAACCTCTCTCATCAGATTGCCGATGCGGTGGAAAAGGCTTCTCAGGAGGCTTACGCGCGCGAACTCCGTCGCGGAAAGTCCAGTAACAGCTCTCGCAATATGGCCAACAATGCAGGTGATACGGCTACTCAGCAGTCATTCCTACTACCGGATCTTCCCAACTTGTCAGAGTTGGTCTCGGGCGTCTATGAAGACGGCACGCCCGTGTATGCGCGTCAGAACAGAGCACGGACGACGCGCTTTGTCTCCCCTCCGCATGATGCTACTGATGTTTCTTTGACTCGCGAACACATGCCGCTGGATGCTGTCCCCATTCCGGAAGATGAAAAGGCACTCTTCGTTTCATTGAGACTCTTGCAGGACAAGGTTGCAGAATTGGAGAGGTCCAAGTCTGACGCCGAACGGAGGATGGATGATATGAAGCGGGAGAATGAAGCGCTGAGGGCAAACAAGCGCTCAAAGGACAAGCATGGTCGCAGCCGACCTTACGAATCCGACGAGGATGACTACCGAAGAGATCAGCTTGCCAACGAGAACCAAAGTAAGCACTTCTATATTGGTCATCGCGATACTGAGCTAACTCTGTATGCAGAACTAGATGCCGCCAATCTGGCTTTGCAGAACAAACTCGACGTTATCGAAAGAAAGGCCCAGATTCAGGAATCGACTTTAAAGCGGCTGAACCGAGAACGAGACATGGCAGTCTCTCAATTGGGAGTTGCATATCTGGAGAGCCAGGACCTCAAGAGCGAGAATGAGAGTCTGCGCCAGGAGAATGCAGACTTGAAGTCGCAGATATCGAAGATCTTGTCCGCGGGCTCCAGAGCACGTGAGGACACAGTCGAGTCAGAGCAGTCTTCTATGACTGATGCAAGCGATGAGGATAGCCAGATTGATACGCAGCATAGCAAGCATACGAGCCGAAGCACCCGCGAAGTCACTGGCAAGAGCTCGCGATCCAAGTCTAGACGTCAGGAAGATTCGCGCGCCAAGATCTCGACGCAGGTCGATAAGGAAATTTCCCGGCTTGAAAAAGAGCGTGCAGAAGAGGCACTGTTTTCGATCGACGTCCCCCAGACCAGGGAAAAGTCGAAGTCGAGATCAGGAAAGTCCAAGAGCCGGTCGGAGAGCAGTGATGTGAGCACCAGGAAGCAGTCCAACACTGGCAAACAGCGCGTCAAGAGAGTGGTTGTCGAAGAGGTAGAGGAGACTGAGCCTGTTGAATCGAGTGGGGAAGTCACTGGAAACACCAAGAAATCCAATGCAACGGAGCAGGACTTGACCCTGCTGAGCTTCGTTGATGTAAGTTGCCTTTCGTGTTATTGCCACATTACACACCCGTACTTACTCGAGTTTCAGGAACGTGAAATTGCTCAACTACGGAAGACGCTGGAAGAGGAACGTCTGGCTCGGAAACGGCGGCAGTCGAGTACAAGCAAAGAGCAGACTGCAAACGAGACCGGAAACACGACCCGGCAGAGCCTGGCTAAGTCGACAATTCCCAGAAAGTCTTCCCTCAAAGAAAGCAAGGGGTTGCCATCTAGACCCGCCTCGGCCATGGGTGACTTGACCGCCAACTCCAAGGCTAGCATGACTGAAGGAGAAAGTAACTTGTCGGTGCCTGTCGAACGCCCCAGACGGCATTCGGACAACTCCGGGGCCGCTGCTTCTCAGCGACGCCGGCGAAGGATGGCCGAAGAGATGACCTCGGCCTTTATCTTGCCTGATATTACGTTCAACCCCGCGCATCTGGTCGAGAACAATCTTTCAAAGCTTCCTGAACCTGCTCAGCGTGCACTTGACAGTGCCACTAAGCACAATGGCAAAAACTGCACGGTCTGCAAGCAGTCCATTCCAGGTGCCTCTTGTGAACATACTGCAGAGGCAGTGAAGATTCCGAAGCCCGTTCCCGTTTCGGAGCGTATGCCCGAGCCGTCTGTCTACAATGAGGAGCCTACCATGCGCCCCGCGCAATCGCCAGAGCTTGCCCTCGCGACCGTGCTCAAGGCTTTGGAAGATGAGCTGGCCCACCTGAAGATGCAGCTGGTAGCATACCAGGGCTCGTACAACAAGCTGGATGCCTCGCTGAGCAAGCGACAGAGGAAGTCTGTGGGCGAGAAGATCGAGAAGCTGTTGAAGGATATCGACATGAAGGCCGACCAGATTTATGCGCTGTACGACGTCCTTGAAGGTCAGAAGCAGAATGGCCGTGAGATGACGGAGCAGGAGATGGAAGTGACTCTTCAGTCGATTGGAATTGATACGGCAGGACGGACAGCAGACGTCACCGCCACCACGGACAAGTCCTCTCGCAAGGAACCGGACTCGGAAGACGATGATGAGCTCCCTTGGGAGGGGTTTGAAAGTACTCTGGAGATGACGGGCAGGACTGGTGGAAGCCGTCGCAACTAGTTGAATACCACTGAGCTATCGCTCTTCTTTTCCTTGATTTGTTACATTGGTCTTGAGCATGTGTGATTTTAACAGTGTACTTTTCTCTATTCCCCTTTTCTTTCATTTCTTTCTTTTCTCTCACGCTCTCCTAGTCTTGTGCAGATGTAATGTTTTCGGATCAGGTTTCCGACTGACTTTGTGTATGTCCCTGGTTTTTGAGAACGCGATGATGCGCAGGGTCTTTGAGTTGATCCTCGAGGAATGTGTTCCGCCGTGCATGTGGTGTGTGACTGTCTTTGAGAGTCCTCGGACTCGTTCATGTGTCTGTTGCTTGAGGTTGGTCTTGGACGTCGACGGACTGAATAAGATCTCCGTCCAGATGTTGATCTCGCAACGGGATGCGATCGGACTTGCCCTTCACCCCTCTTTCTTTCTTCCTTTTTCTTCTTCTTTTCTTCTCTTTGTCCTTAATAGTGTTGGATACGGCGTTCTGATTCGGATGCAGGGAGTGCCTAGCCTTGTTGAATTGACTACTGCCTGTCTGGGATGGGATTGGATAAGGATGTGTTTAAAACGGTAGCACAGATGAGTCAATACTTGCTTGCGTACATTCAATGTTCGTTTAACTGAGTAGGGGGTACCTAGCCATGTAAGGGACGCGGTGTTACACAGTGCAGGATGAGAAGAATGGGGAGTGATATGCATGTCGCATCCTCGTCTATACAGAATCAGGCATCGGCAAAGTCGCGGCGACTAAACCCGAGGCAGGTTTAGCGGGGATGACAAGCTTCGGGCGAATCTTTGGCTCATCGCCTCTTCGGCTTTCTTCTTATCCACTTTCTTCTTCTCCCCAGATTTGTTCCCACCCTTTTCTTTTTCCGTAGATTTTATCGTCTCCGTTGAACTTTGACTTTGAAGTACCTGACGGCTTCCCCAGACTCTCCTTCTATTCTTGACGATAAGATCTATATATGACCTCTTCACAACCACCCGAGATCCGCAACTCCCACACCGACAATCATGTAGATACTACTACTGCTATCTCCGCGCCCGAGACCGACGCCTCACGCCTCCGCAAGAATCCGGACACCCAATTCTTGTCGCCCGCCATGTCAGTCGATTCCTCCATCGACGGCGACAAAGACAGCGTCAACACTGCCATTCACGACGGCAGCTCGGCGCAGACCCGTATACTTGCGCCGGCGCCCATGCCCGAATCCTCCCAGTCGCGGCGCTTATCAGTAGATGATCACAACAGTAGCGACAACGACGACGATGACAGCAGCTTCAGTGACAGCGACAGCGACAGCTTCAGCTCCAGCGACGATGACGACGAAGAAGATACCAATCTGATCGCGAACGAGGACGCCCCCAACCCCAACGAAGAAAACAACAACGACGCCGACGAAAAACCCGTAACATGGTCCTCACTACCGAAAAAGAGCCAACTCGCTATCCTGACCATCGCCCGTCTCTCAGAGCCACTCACCCAGACCTCCCTGCAAGCGTACATGTTCTACCAGCTCAAGTCGTTCGATCCGTCCTTACCGGACTCGACTATCTCCGGACAGGCAGGCATCCTGCAGGGCAGTTTCACCGCGGCGCAGTTCCTGACGGCTGTGTGGTGGGGACGACTAGCTGATGCGGAGTGGATGGGGAGGAAGAGAGTGTTGCTGATCGGGTCGCTGGGGACGTGTATCTCGTGCTTGGGATTTGGGTTCTCGCGGTCGTTTGTGGCTGCTGCGGTGTTTCGCACGCTGGGAGGTGTGTTGAACAGTAATGTGGGTGTGATGAGGACGATGATTGCGGAGATTATTGAGGAGAAGAAGTACGTCCATACCCTGTACCTTTTTTAACTTGGGTATGATCACTGACAAATGCAGGTATCAATCTCGAGCGTTCCTCTTACTGCCCATGTGCTTCAACATCGGCGTCATCATCGGCCCAGTGTTGGGCGGTGCCCTAGCTGATCCAGTCAAGAACTATCCCCAGATCTTCGGTCCAGGCACGTTCCTAGGTGGTGCGAATGGGGTGGAGTGGATGCGCAAATGGCCCTTCCTGTTACCGAACCTGCTCAGTGCAGTGTTCATCTTCTGCTCATTGCTGGCTGTCTTCTTCGGCTTAGACGAGGTACGCCCCATCCCTACCCCAACATCCTTTTCAATCCATCATCTAACCATCAAGCTACAGACCCACGAAACAGCCCGTCACCGCAGCGACTGGGGCCGTCAACTCGGGCACCGCATCTCACGCGCCCTCCGCCGCACCAGACGCAAAGACAGCAAATACTACCAACGACTAACCGAACACCCCGACGACGAATCCCTCTACATCGACAACACCTCCCACCACCGCCGCAGCATCAGCATCAGCAGCCGCTCCTCGCGCCCTAAGCCATCATCAACAACAACAACAACCTCCTCCCGCCCCTCCTTCCGCCAAATCTACACCCGCAACGTCCTCCTCACCCTCCTCGCCCAATTCCTCCTCGCCTTCCACACCTCCGCCTTCAACGCCATCACCTTCACCTTCCTCCCCACCCCACGCGCCCCTCCCTCCACCAGAACCGGCTGGTTCCACTTCTCCGGCGGCCTCGGCCTGCCCTCCTCCCGCGTCGGTCTCGCCACCGCCATCATCGGAATCATCGGCCTCCCTTTACAAATCTTCATCTACCCCTGGGTCCAAGGCTACCTGGGTACCTTACGCTCCTTCCGCACCTTCCTACCTTTCTCTTCCCTCGCATACGCCCTCATGCCCTTCCTCCTCCTTCTTCCCCGCGCAGCATACATCGTCTGGCCTGCATTTACCGTGGTGATCGCACTGCAGGTCGTGTCGAGGACGTTTGCACTACCCGCTGCTGTGATCTTAGTGAATAATAGTGTCTCGGATGCAAAGGTGCTCGGCACGATTAATGGCGTCTCGCAGAGTATTTCGTCTGCGGCGAGAACGTTAGGGCCGTTTTTGGGGGGCTGGGGGTTGGGTGAGGGGTTGAAGGGGAATTTTGTCGGGGGTGTTTGGTGGGGGTTGGCGGTGGAGGCGATGGTGGGGTGGGTTGTGTTGTGGTTTATTTGGGAGGGGAGGGGAATTGAGAGGAAGAAGACTAGGTCGAAGAAGTAGTACTATGTAGGGGGGATGGGTGGGGGAGTTGTGTATATAGATGGTATGCATGTGGTTGTGGTGTGTATATGGGTTGGATAGATGGATAAAGGGTAGATGGGTGGGTCAGTAGGTTATAATGATAGACGAGACGGCCTTTATTCATATTTATATATCAATGGATACCATTTGACTACTGTTCATGGTTTGTTTATTGTGAGTGTGGACTGGAGTAGAGATAGTATTAGTAGTATGGATATCAAACTATAAAGGTGGTAGATAGAAAGGATCAAAGTAGTCCAAATACTCTAGCTATCAATGAAACAATTCCCCTCATAACACATCCTTGAATAATCGGTAGAACTTCCTTCCCAATAACCCGAAAGAAATATATTAGTTCCATACCATCATAAAAACCTCACTATCCTTTCATTTTAGTCCAAAAGTGGCGCTGACTATATAGATTCATCCTCCGCCAACTCCTCATCCAACTCCCTATAAAACCCCGCCACCAAAAACGCCAACTCCAACGCCTGTTTCTCATTCAACCTGGGATCACAAAACGTCGTGTACCGCTCACTCAATCCCTCCTCCGTCAACCCCCCAGCACCACCCACACACTCCGTCACTGCCTCGCCTGTCAACTCCAGATGCATTCCGCCCAGGAATGATCCCGCCGCGCGATGTATCTCCAATGCCTGCTTCAGCTCGGACAAGATATCGCTGAAATGCCGCGTCTTCACCCCGGACGGCGTGGCCTGCGTGTTACCGTGCATGGGATCGCACTGCCAGACGGGGATGTGTCCGGAGGCTTGTACGGCGGCGATATGGGCGGGGAGGTACTGTGAGATCTTTGCTGCGCCGTAGCGCGAGATGAGAGTGACTTTGCCGATTTCGCGGGCCGGGTTGACGATATCCAGGAGGGAGGTGAGTTCAGCGGGAGTCATGCTAGGGCCGATTTTGATTCCGATGGGGTTGGCGATGCCTCGGAAGAATTCGACGTGGGCGCCGTTGATTTGGCGGGTGCGGTCGCCGATCCAGAGGAAGTGCGAGGAGGTGGCGTAGTAGGATTTGAGGGGCTGTGTGGAGGTGGTGGGAGGGTCGGGGTTCTTGAGGTGTCGGAGGAGGCTTTGTTCGTATTCGAGGAGGAGGCCTTCGTGACTGGTGTAGATGTCGACGGTCTCGACGCCACGGTCGGTGTCGATGCCGACGGTTTGCATAAAGCGCAGGGCGTCTTTGACGCGATTGACGATTTTGGTGTATTTCTCCCGGATGGAGGGAGTGATGACGTGCCCGAGACCCCAGTCTAGAGGGGAGTGCAGGTCGGCGAGACCTGAGGAGAGGGAGGCGCGCATGTAGTTGAGTGTCGCGGCGGAGTGGAAGTAGGCTGAGACCAGTCGGGAGGGGTCTGGTTTGCGGGACTCGGGGGTGGCGTCGAAGCCGTTGATGTTGTCGCCGCGGAAGGAGGGCATTTCGACGCCGTCGATGGTTTCCATTGGGCTGGAGCGGGGTCTATTCGGTATTAGTTGGTGTTGTTGTTTATGTAGAGAGTGAAGACTTACTTGGCGAACTGGCCTGCAATTCGGGCGATACGGACGACGGGCTTGTTTGCTCCTGGGTGATATTAGCATGATTCATTATATCACATTAGTAAGAAGAGACATACCCCAAATCAAAACCAAACTCATCTGCAGAAGCAGCTTCACCTTGGCTTCAATCATGTCCATATTGCAGTAATCGAACAGCTCCGCGCAGTCACCTTGCACAGTATCAGTACCGGCGGTAATGCGGAATCTAAATCCGTGTACTCACCACCCTGGAGTACAAAGGCCTTTCCCAATGCAACATTCTTCAAGCTCTTTTTTAGATCATTCACCTACAAATATATCAGCTCGTCTGTTCAGCTCTCAACGAAACGATAGATCGCACCTCTTGAGTCGTGACCAACGGCGGGAGTTTCTGCAGCTTCGCCAGTGCGGCTTGTACGCCCGCCGCATCGTCATAAACGACATCCTGCTTGATGGGTTTCGAGGCCCAAGCTGATGGGAGTCAGTCATCGCATTACGTTCTCCTCTCGAAGAAAGGAAGTATAAGAAGGGTATACGCACAGCTAGGAGACCATTCTGACTCCGCCATTGTGACAGAGTCGGTGGAGGCAGCGAGGAGTAATTAGTGATTGATCGACGCTAGGGCGCTGTCAAGAGTGGATGTTGATTCCCCACCGCTCTTTGGAATGAATGAATGAATGACTGCAACGAAGCAAGGGAAAAAAGGAGATGGAAGTAGAGGAAGACGACGAAGAAGAAGAAGAAGAAGAAGCAATCAAGTTGAAGAATAAAAAGAAAAGCAAAGAACAACAAACACGTTACACTTTCAATTAAATTAACTTTCAATGCAGAAAAAAAAGAAAATCGGTTATTCGCGGATTTGGACCCTTTTGAGTCACGCCTGTCCCGCTAACCCAGACAGGCAATTTGCTCTCTTTGCCATGCCATTTTATTATTGAACTCCGACGTCATGTGTTCTCAATACTACTAACTACTTATCTCTATCATAGTTAACTAACTTAGCTACTTGGTTAACTTCATTGTTTGCCCCTGACCTGACTAACCGTCTGACAGTCCAATTCTAAACCCATCTATCCTGCATCAATCAAATCAATTAATCAATCAATCAATCAGTATCATCAATCACCATGTCCGACTCCATCCCCTCCGCCCATCCCGATGAACATCATCAACACCAACACCCCACCAACGCCGAAGACCGCAAAGCCGCCGCCGCCCTCTCCGCCCTCAACCCCAGCCACATCGCCCCCGACACCCCCAAGTCCTCCTCCACTCCCTCCGCTGCAGACCAGGAAGCTCTGGGTCAGGCAATGAGTCGCTTGGAGATCGCCTCGGGACAAACTGGTGGTGCTGGTCGTGGTGGCGTGCAGAAGCCGGTTGAGGCCCAGAAGAGGGTTCCGGTGGAAGGGGCTAAGAAGAAGGCGGTTAAGGTGGCGGTGGAGGATGTGAATCTTTTGGTATGTCAATACCTGAGAGAAGTGTTTGGGCGGAGGCTAATGGCGATGGTGGACAAGGTCGAGGAGTTGGAATTGAATAAGAGCACTGCGACCGAGTTGTTAAGATTGCATGATGGGAATGTGGTGGACGCCATGAGAGCCTTTGTCTCTGTTGGTCCGGGTCTGTGAGTATACGACTGCGGTAGGTTGAGAGTTGAGCTGGTCTCGCATCGACATATCATGTCTTATTGTAATGATAATGAATTACGGATCCATTTCAACTATGTCTCACAACATAAACTACCAAGATTACAATGCTTCAAGGCTGAAACATACACGTAAATGATTGAAGATATAATGAATGTCCAATTACTATAATCCAACCATACGCCACTAGACAACAAAGGGGTATGTAGTATAACCATAACCATAAACAGATTATCCAGTAACCAGAACCATGCAGAAATTAAACCAATCCGGTGCGAACAAAATCAACCAAAATCTACTCAACAAGGGGACTCCCCACTCGCGGCTTATACGCCATACTCTTTCGTCTAGCTGCCTCCAGTTTGGCCCGCAGCTTCTGGTTCGGCTCGCGTGCTGCAGCCGGCGTGGTAAAGAGACCTTGGCGGGTCTGCTTCGGAGGACACGTCTGCTGCACGAGCTTCGTCCGCTGCGACAGGTAGAATGGTGTGGCTGGCGACATGCCAATAGCATCCATGTCAAGGGTGTAGCCCGGAGTCTTGGGCGTGTGGCAGTACTGCTGGTCTGCTTCCGTGTGACCGGCGCCAATCTTAGGAGTGGCGTCGGGGGTAGATGGCTCATCACGCGAAGAGGGTGTCGCATCTCTGGGGATGGATTCTTTGGGAGGAGCAAGGCTAGATCGTCTGCGGTTTGCAGATGCACTCGCCGCGTCGGTCTTGACAAGAGTGCCATTGACGTTGCTCAAAGCGCGTGGTTCCATGCTCTTGCGACGCTTAGCACCACCACGGGGGATAATAGACAGGTCGACTTCGTAGTGTGCCTCATCGAGCCATTTGTTCTCACGTTCGCAGCTGTGCAACGTTAGTACCTGCATCCATGGCAGACAAGTGAATAACTTACTCAAGGACCCAGCCGACTCCAACACATTTGACAAGGCCTCTGGCATGTCGGACCTTCTCCAGAGTTCGGACACCTCCATCCTTGTAGACGACATGGGTGATTCCCACCTTGCCCTCCTTGGGCTCTGTTCCCTCCTCCGGAGATACACTGGCGCGAGGGTTCCACGACCAATTCTTCACACACCGGGCTCCCATCTGCTGCAGAAGCTCAATGAAGATGCCGCTAGCATCCTCTCCCTCAGTTGTGTGCACATCCACATATACAACAGAACCCTGTAGGGCGAGCTTGGGAGCATTGATGCTCGTGCGGGGCGCTTTCGTCTTCTTCTTAGGGCTGGGAGAGTATGAGGGCCGCTTGGGCGGTGCAGGTCTTTGAGCCTCAATGGGTTTTCTAGCTGTATCATGAGTATGCGATTGGCCGAGTGACGGGCGCGAAGCGGTTCTTTGTAGCCGGGGCGATTTGCGAGGTGACAGCTGGGGGGCATTCTGCGCGATTGGTGCAATTGCCGACATGCGGGGTCTCGAGGAGCGCCCTGGGGAAGAGGCAGAGAGCGAAAGACCACGTTTGCGCGACATTTTCAACGGCGATATCTGGCCTTCGGGCTTGAGTGGAACTTTAGAAACCGTGTGTACAGTCTGCATCTCAGGGATTCTGTTCTTCATCGGAGTGGAAGGTGCGAGAATGGGAATATCCCCGAGCTCTCTTTCCTTGTCTGGCTGCGACTCAGAAGCGAGATTGTCAGGCACAGACGGCACTGCGTACATGTTCTCCTTATCCTCGCTTGCGTCGGCCACAGCCTCCTGGCTGCTCTCAACTACCTCTGCGGACTGCTCCAACGGCTCCTCGAAGATCTCAGTATCGCCAGCTTGCTGAGAACCAGAATCTTCGTCTTCGTAAATTTCGGGCATATCAGCAGACTTGTCAGTTTCCTGCAAAGTGTCAGGTTCAGTCGGCAAAGCCTCCGTTTTGCTGGGCATGTCGCCAATGGGCTGTGACGGCTCGTCTTCATGTATAGGAGGCATATCGGCATCATTGCTGTCTTCCTCCAGAATAGGCGAGAAGGGCAATGAAGCCTTCTCCGGGCTTGGCTCATCATCAACTGGTTCCAGATCCTGATCTTGCTCTTCAGGTAGAGACATATCAACATCATTCAAGTCTTCTTGCGGAGTTGGCAACTCAGCTGATGAAGGTTGATTTGGCTCCTCAGCAATCGGTTCCGCTTCCTGCTCCTGATCCTCGTCGTACTCCGGGACGTCGACATCCTCACTCTGTTCCTGCGGAGCAGGCGAAACAGGCATTGGGGTCTCCTCGCGGGCTGGCTCGGCATTTTCTTCAGGCTCCTGCTCTTCAGTTCCAGCAACCTCAGGCACATCGACATCTTCCCGCTCTTGCTGCGAAATTTGCGGCTTAGACGATGAAGCTTCTGCCTGCCTGGATACATCAGGATATGAAACCTCAGAGGTACTAGTAACGTTGCTAGACCTCCTGCGGCCTCCCAAAGAGAAGATTCCCCTTCGAGGTCGCGTCGCCTGTGCCTTCTCAGGGCTGTTCGATTTCCACTGTCTAAACTGTTGCGCCAGTGGTGTGAAACGAGGGGCGTTGTCGAAAAGTAGTCCTCGAGTAGATCTACGACGAGGTGTTGCACGACTGTGCTCAACGAATGGGTCCGAGAGGTCGGCATTGTTTTGCGTCCCATTGTCCATGGCTGCTGCAGGTGTAGGAGCATTCCTCGCGCTGCGCCTGATAGGGCTTCGCCTGATAGGGCTTTCAAGGATACGAACGGGCGAGAGAACACGTTTGGAGGCATTTTGAGCCTGACGCGAAGGGCTGAATGGATCTTCCGCCTCTTCGACTTCGTATGGCTGAATGGGAACGAGGTTAGGTGGAACCCGCTCGGTCGGTTCGAACCCTACGAGCGTTGGTTCGCTGTCATCGAATGTGTACTGGTCGTCCACGTCGTCGAAGTCGTCAAAAGCATCTGCAGCATTCTCTTCGTCGGCCGCCTCCAGCATATCCGGGTCGTCCTCCGTCTCCGAGCCATCACGGTCATCATTGACAGGCTCGGGGGGTGCTGCGCGTTCGACAAAGACATCCTCAAGGCCTTCAACCAAGCTGCTTCTTAGTCCTGTGTTGGCTGGGCCTGGAGCAGTTTCAGTTGCCGGGTTCGTTGTCTCGGTGCGCTCTTCTGCCTCATGCTCGGGTTGCTCAACATTTTCTTGGTCGTACCCGGCTGAAGGCTCTTCTTCAACGATAGGTTCGCGCGTCTCACTGCGGTTTGACGGGCTAAAGTCCTTGGGCAGGGAAACGGAAATATCTTCCATTTCCACGGTGTCCTCTCTAGTGTCGGGGACGGAAACCTCAGCATCGGGCTCTGGACCATCTTCAGCGTACTCGATGGCGTTCTCCTGAGCTTCATGCTCGTTACTCATCTCGCCAGTCTCTTCATCTTCCACCGTTTGGTGGGTCTGCTCAGCTTCCGGTTCCCTGACAAGTTCAGCGTCAGGCTCGGTAACGAGCTCTTTGATGGGAGGTTCAGTAGATTCCTCGGCAGGCTCAGTCGCTCCTGCTTCGACAGACTCCTCGGTCTCCTCCATGGGTGGCTCCACTGGCTCATCGGCGAGTTCTTCCATGGGTTCCTCAACAGGCTCATCGATATGCTCGGTCGGATCACTAACAGATTCTTCGGCCATCTCCTCCGTGTATTCTTCCATAGGCTCCTCCATAGATTCCTCCATAGGCTCGATGTTGGGCTCCTTTATGGGCTCCTCTGTAGGCTCGACTAGCTCATCAGCAGGTTCTTCCATGGCATCGTCCCTGAATTCTTCTTCAGACTCTTCCATAGGCTCCTCAGTGGCCTCGACCAGCTCGTCAGCAGGCTCTTCAACCTGCTGGTGATTAGGAACGTCACTTTCAATACGCTCCTCATGCGGCGTGACATCCTCAGCCGCATTTCCCGTGTTTTCCTCTTCATACTCTATGGTCTGCTCCCGATCAAACTCTTCGTGCAGAGTATCTTCGTCGGACTCTTCTGCAGCGGCTGGGGATTTCGTATCGATTTCCTTGGTCGCATCGTTATCTTCCACTCCCTCAGGGATATCGTCATCAACCTGCTCGTCTTCACTTTCAGCATCCCTGGCTTCCTGGAAATCGGTCATTCTAAGCGGCGATTCGTCGACGTCAGGGGTTGCAGGTTCTTCCACATCTCTGGTGTCAACCTGGACATTCTCGGTTATGGGGCTTCTGCTTGCAAACAACGAGCTTTTGAATGGCGACGCAATCCTTTTTGCCGGGCTCTGAAGGAAAGATACACTGTGCCTCAATGGGGTCGACGTCGATTCGGCGTGGGCCTGTGAAATGAACGACGCCCCGAATAGGCCTTTTCTGGGTGACGCCTTGAGAGGGGAATTGTGCCCTTGAGTAAAGTTGGGTTGCGACAACGGCTTGCCACTGTCCAAAAAGACGCTTCCTCGCTTCGGAGTCTCCAAGTGTGCCTTCCTGGGCGACAATTTGAGCGGTGAATTGTGTGTTGGGGAGAGATGGGGTTGTGATAACGACTTGGGGTCATCGCGTGGAGCGAACGCTCCACGCTTGGGTGTTTCTCTCATTGAGAAGTTGAAAGGCGAAGGGGGTGGTCGACGAGCAGGGCTGGACATAAGGAGTGTATCATTAAAGTCGATCGATCGTCTAGGGCCAGGCAGAGGCTCGCCGTTCTCGTCGAGAGATTTCCGGAACTTTCCAGTGATATTGATCTTCTTCACTGGTGAACTAAGGCCGGTATTTTCTGATCCGTGTTTGGGGGGTGAGTTGACAACAAACTTGACCTGATCTTTATCGCCGCTCAGCTCGTCGTCCTCTCCATCCGATTCGGCATACGACGAAAGCGCTTTGGCGACCTGCGTTGCCTTCTTCGGCGAAAGAGGTTTAGGACCCTCCTTCTTGGCCGTCGCCGGCTTCCGGCCCTTAGCGGAGGTCGCTGCAGGTTTGCGAACCGGCTTGGACGCAAGACCTGCCTGACGTCCAGGCCCAATCGTCCCTCGTCGCCTTCCAGCAGCCGGCGGGGGAGATGGCTCGCTCATGTCTTCTTCTCCAGTTTCGGACGGATCCTGGAATGTAACCTTCTTCTTCTTCGCCGGTCCACGCAGCATATTCGATCTCGCTGTCGTAG